GGGAATCAAACCCACCACCTTTGGTGCATGGGATGACCCTCCAACTAACTGAGGGATGACCCTCCACCAGCTAGGGCCTTTCTCCATACCCCCTTATTTATTTAATTGAATTTATTGGGGGGTGACACTGGTTTGCAAAACCACACAGGTTTCAAGTGTACAACTCAATAAAACATCACCTCACTGTTGTCTGTGTCTGTGTTTTATATGTGTGCGTGTGTGCATGTGCCTGTGTGTGTATTTTATTTAATCCCTTCATCTTTCTTCATCCAGTCCCTCAACACCCCTCCCCTCTAACAGCTGTCCGTCTGTTCCATGTATCCATGCCTCTCAACAGTCCTTCTTAATCCTTTACAGACTTTGTTTCCTTATATGTGGAGAAAATGCGGCTCAGAGGAGGGAAAAGAGTAGCAGTGGGACACCCTGAATTAATTGTAGAAATAGCCCTCACAGGTTTAGTGTCCTCAGTGAGGGCAGGAATGAAGCCTCAAAAGAAAAGATTATCTGATTATCTCAGTTACTGGGGCTGGCATGATGAGTATCAATCTGCCCTCTGGGAGTAGAGCTCCGTGATAAGGGCTAGGAATCCTAGATGCTCTCAGAAGTATTGGCATATGGATCAATGATTAAAGGTAGTTGTGGAGTCTACAGATATTATTTGCCCCCCCACAGACCATTTAGCCTTCTGCTCTCCAAATGGAAAACAGCTTGACCTCCTTCATCTGTATGCTCCCTGCCTCCTCCAGCCATCAGAGGTCTTAAAAAGTTGACTCTGGCCCTAGCCAGTGTTACTACATGGTTAGAGTGTGAACCTGCACATCGCAAGGGTCCTGGGTTTGATTTCCAGTCAAGGGTACATACCTGGATTGCAGGTTCCATCCCTGCCCTGGTTGGGCATATGCGAGAGGCTACCAATCCATGTGTCTCTCTTATATCAATGTTTCTCTATCTCTCTCTTTCTCCCTCTCTCTCCTTCTCTCTCTTTTACTCTCCCTAAAAATCAATGGAAAAAGCATCCTCAGTGAGGATTAATTAAGGAAAAAAATCTGACTCTGTTCCTGGTAAATGAGATTTCTACTTCATGTACTTTCCATTCTCCACACAACCAGTCACTCACCATGTGGATGTCCTGGCTCCACGGATGTGGGATCAACAGTAGCTTCTGAAAACGGAGTTGAAATGGGGGTGGTTACTTTATTTCTTCTCAGGCTCTTCCTACACAGACTCACAATGACCCACATGCCCTCCCCGGCCCTGAACGTGTGATGAGAGGGCTGCATGGTGGGCAAGGGGTGAGGTTAAACTCATAGCTTCGTGTCTAAGAAGAGGGTGCTGACAACAATCCCCAGGCTACTCTCCTCCTTTACCCAGTCTTTGCTCTAACGACATCACCAACTTCAGGAGGGAACTTATGGATGGACAGGCATCCTCACCTCTAACCACAAACTGCAATGGGTCACTGGGGTGAGACCACAAATAGGGGTCTTTGCTGAAGGCACCGTAGCATCTGTAGGTCCCTGCCTCTGTGGAGGTGACACGGTCCATGTGGAAGGTGGTCTGCTGTCCATTGTCCTGGGTTGTGGAGCTTTGTCTCTGGGTGAACTGAGGTGCATCTTCTTTGATGAGAATAAATGCATCAAACTTGAAACTGGAGAAACACTGTAACTTCACATTGTCTCCGGGAGCCAGCACCGTGCCAGTAAGGCTTGAGAATGTGGGTTTGTCATAAGCTCCTGAGAAAGAAGGAAGTTTGTTGATAAAGGGGAAGCCATGTCCTGTGCCTTCCTGTTCCCCGGGCACAGATGTGGCTCTGGCTTCTACCCCCATCCATGTCCCACCCTGAGGAAATGTGTCCCTGCATCATCCCTGATTCTTTCCTACAGGTAGAGGCTTTGCTGCTTACTGCACCGTATCTCAGAGCCTGGTTCTCCCTCTGCAAAGAGGTCCCTCCCGGCTTTGCTGCCTGGGTCCCACTCACCCGTCATCACTACATGCAGGATCTCACTGAGTGAAGACCAGTGTCCTCCACTCTGATAGGAACAGCGGTACGGTCCTGTCCGGTCTGGTTTCATCTCTTGGATATATAAAGTGCTGGTCTTCCCAGCCACCAGTAATTTCCTTCCATCCCTAGGCTCAGGTTCTTCCACTTTATATATCTCGTAGGCTTCAGCGTGTGAAGGCCCTTGGCACCGGATGGTCACTGGTTTCGTAGATTGAACTATGGATCCAGGCTGAGCTGTGATAACAGGTGGGGGGAGATATCCTAGAAGGAGAGGTAATAAATTTACAGGTGTATCTACTTCTCATGCCACCTCCCACTTCCTCCCCTTTTACAGCCACGAATCTAAATGCCAAGATCCCTCTTCGAAGCCCCAAGAGAGCTGATATCTGGCCTAACTCTACTCAGCCTTTGGACATTAAAAGGATACTCACCATTCTGAGCCTGAGTGCTCTGGGCTAGATGCAACCCTGGAAGGAAACATTGGGTGAGAACGGTTCAGGCTTTAAAACACTTTTTTCAATTTTCAATTACAGTTTACATTCATAATCACTTTGTATTAGTTTCAGGTGTACTGCCTAGTGGTTAGATATTCATATACGTTATAAAGCGCTTCCCCTGCTATGTCCACTACCCTCCTGGCACCATACATACTGGTTACAATACTATTGGCTATATTTTCTATGCTGTACTCTACGCTCCCATGAGTATTCTTTAACTCACAATCTATACTTCTCAATCCCTTCTCCTTTACACCCAGTCCCCATACACTCTCCCCTGGCAACCGTCAGCCTGTTCTCCATGTCTGTGAGTCTGTTTCTGTTTTGTTTGTTCATGGTTACAATAATTGGCTATATTTTCTATGCTGTACTCTACGCTCCCATGAGTATTCTGTAACTCACAATCTATACTTCTCAATCCCTTCTCCTTTACACCCAGTCCCCATACACTCTCCCCTGGCAACCGTCAGCCTGTTTTCCATGTCTGTGAGTCTGTTTCTGTT